GTTTGGGACGTCTTTTTGAGTTTTTATATATTTGGCTGAGGATGGCATAAAACTAAGTCTAGTGCATATGTGATATCCTGCTGTGGATCTCATGGGACAAGCGCTTTGTCATCTAAAATACAGAGGCAGGTAAATGTGGGCATATACGCATAGTTCCAGAAAAACATGCTGAACTGCCACAGGTGTTTATTTTTCCATGAGATTTCATGTGCTCTAAACAATTACGCACAAGAAAAAACTTTTCTGCCATAGTCTGTTATTCAGTTACCAACATACTTTTTTTTTTTTACAATACTGTTCCCTTAATATTGTATTTGCAATAAATGACTTTATTCAATAAACTGTATGTCAACACAATTATTAAATGTAACTACAAGTGTTCTTACCTTTTCTCCCCAGACTCGGAGGAATAAAATATTTTACCAGATGTTGAGGAGGTGCATGTTTCGTCCAGACAGGCATTCATTCATTATGTTCTGCCAGGAGCTTGAGGGTCAAACGCACCTCCTTCATGAGGAGGTGGGACTATCATCTCTGTATCCTCCTAGACTCATCCAGATCTAAGATAAAGAGCAAATGCCACATACAAACACACTACCTCATATCTGCAAAAACTCAGCTTACAAAAACGCAACTGTATGTGTGAATGTGCAGAGGAGGGCGGGACGAGTTGTCACAGGGGCTTTGACTTAGTAACAATGAAGCTCAATTGCACAAATGTATTTACTCTAGCATTTTTTTTTAAAGATAGTGTTGAAAACGGTTTTAAAGTAGGACAATTTTTCTTAAATTATGCCCTCCAAATGAAAAAGTGTTTTATTATTATTATTGATATATTATTGATTATTATTGATATGGTAACAAGGTTATATATAAATTAAAGGTAATTTTCCATGTCAAAAGTTCTCCTATTTTTTATGTTGTAATTTTATACAATTTATTACAACAGACCAAACCAATGTTTGATATTTTTTGCAATGTTTGATATTTGCAGCTTTATTAATTGTTATAGTAATTTTACTATTTGATTAAAAAGCCTCTAAACAGTCTATAAAATATTTTAAATATAGATATGTGGAAGATTTTTTTTTTAACTTTTTTATTATTTCATGTTTCAAACAAAGTGTTTTTTTTTGTGTGTGTGTGTGTGTGTGTGTGAATTATGTCCTTAAAAATTAAATGTTAATTATTTACTTTTTTAATTATTATTAATTTATTTCTTTGTTACCTCTGGGGTAACAGGTAAAATATGTTTGTTCTTTTTTCCAAAAGTTGTCTCGTGTTATTATTTTATACAGGCCAAACCAACATTTTGATATTTTGTTAATTTTTTTATCTTGGTTTCATTAATTGTTATAATTGTTTCACTATTTAATTTAAAAATTTCAGCCTCTAAAATATTTTAAATACGTATTTGTGGAAGCTAACTTTTGCAACTTTATTTTTAATGTTTCAAACGTAAGTAGCCTATTTTTCTCAAAAACTGACAATATGCAGCACTTTTCTTGTGACGTTTCACGTATGCCAAATGAACGTTTTTCAATGTAAAATTGGAGGAAATGATCAATAACATGTTGTAGCAAAGACAAACTATTTATCTATAAGCAAAATTAACTTCAAAAATATATCTACTCGATATTCACTACACTGAAAGTGTGACAACTAACCCCGGCCGTCTCCCCCTATATTCTTCGGTGTTGCTACTGCATAAAGACAGCAATTACATAGCGCTCTTTGATGTAGTAAATGTCCATTGCGTTGGCCCAGCGGTGCGTGGACCGGCCCGGGAGCCGCAGGACAAATCCGTGCAGCGAGCAGAGCCGAGCTCGTTAGTGAAGACTCCCACTGCGCCTCACCGACCTGATGGATGGAGAGCGACAGTCAGGCATTTCACACAGGCTCAACCAAACCGCACACTGTCAAGAAGCTAAACGCTAATGCAGTAATGCTGAATATAGATTCCTCTTACCATAATGCAGGTCAATGATCCTTCTGAATTTATGTAACACGTTAACAACAACATCACAAATAGGAGCAGATAGTCCGCCTGTTCTCTCTTGTAATCTTCTGAATACCTGTGTCATAAAGGCATTGTTCCGGCGTTGTGGGGGTCTTGTTTGTCCCGGTTAGGGTCACGGATGAAAGGTAGCCTCTGAATCTCTGCAAAATACAGAAAACGTGCCAACGCGTGCCTCTAGACTGAACTCTTGAGGGTTTAGTGCTAAAGGGGCAAACGCTTCACTCCAGAATGAAATACTGACTTACTGAAAAACATCTTCGTGGAAAACATCCTCCAGATTAAACTATTAAAATAAAGGTTCCAAAAGGGCGATTTTGTAGCAATGCAATTGAACCATTTCGGGTCCTCCAAAGAAGCTTTCAGGGAACAGTTCTTAAAAGAACTTTTTTTTCTGTTCCTTTAAAAATCTAACAAACGTTTGGGGTCAGGAAGGTTTTTAATTATTAATTTATCTTGAAAGAAATTCATATACTCTATTGAGCAAGAACACATTGAATTGATCAAAAGTGAGATAAAGATATTTAAAATCTTAAATCAGAATCAAGGAATTTGTAAAGGAATAAATAATAATAGTAATGCATCTGGAACAGAAGATTTATGTACAGATTTGTGCCGTATAAATAAAAATATGTATTATATATATATATACACACATACACAGTAGTCAACATTTGAAGTGGATCAAAAAAGTTTATCAAAGTTGTCCTAAGACAAGAACGGGTATTGTTTTGGTTTTAGGACAACTTTGATGAACGGTTTTGATCCACTTCAAATGTTGACTACTGTATATATGTATACATAATACATGAGAGAGAGGCAATAACTAGTTATTAAGAAATGAATTACAGAAGACAGGTGGGAATCTCTGTGTGGAGATGGCATGGGGGAAAAACTGTTTTTATGCCTAGATATTCTAGTGCACAGAGATCTGTAACGTCTGCCAGCAAACAGGTTGTGGCTGGGGTGAGAGGGGTCTGTGATGATGTTACCTGCCCGTTTCTTCACTCTGGAGTTGTACAGGTCCTGAAGGTTGGGCAGGTGCACACCAATTATCCGTTCAGTTGTCCTAACAGTCTTCTTATAGCTGATTTGCTGGCTGACCCAAACCAGACAGTTATAGGAGAGCACAGAATGACTCAATAACAGTAAAACTGTGTCATCTGCGCCTTAAACTCTTGTCTGTAAGCAGCCTCGTCTCTATCCTGGATGAGACCGATGACTGTGGTGTCATCTGCAAACTTCAGGAGCTTGACAGTAGGGTCTTTAGTGGTGCAGTCATTTGTGTAGAGGGAGAAGAGCAGTGGGGAGAGCACAAACCCCTGAGGATCTCCAGTGCTGGTGGTGTGGGTGTTTGACATGAGTTTTCCCAGCCTCACTAGCTGCTGCCTGTCTGTCAGGAAGCTGGTGATCCACTGACAGATGGAGGTGAGTACAGAGAGCTGTGTCAGTTTAAGCAGGAGGGTATCCGGGATGATGGTGTTGCAAGCGGAGCTTAAGTCCACAAACAGGATCCTTGCATAAGTCCCTGGTTTGTCGGGATGTTGGAGGATGTAGTGCAGTCCATTGTTGACTGCATCAACCACAGACCTTTTTGCTCGGTAAGCACACTTCAGGGGGTCCAGTAATGCCCTTTAAAAGTAGGCTAACACCAGTCTCTAAAACGACGTCACGACCACAGATGTCAGCGCGACAGGTCGAGAATCATTTAGTCCCTGTATTGATGGAAAACTGTTTTTTCAGCTTTTCTTATCTCCCTATTCAGTGTATTTGGCCCGTTTGTACAAGGATATTTTAAAAAAGATTTCTATTTCAAATCAAATTTGCTTCCACAAAAATATTAAACAACTGTTTTCAAAATATTTTTATGCAAATCAGCATATTAGAATGATTTCTGGAGGATTACATTTTAAAAATATATTATAATAGAAAACAGTCGTTTTAAATTTTAACAACATTTTACAATATTACCGTTTTTACTGCATTCAATCTGGGGTCACAAGAGATGCCAGTTCAAACAAATGCAGCCTTGTTGAACATAAAGGTCTTCTTTCAAAAACATGTAAAATCTTACCGACTCCAGACTTTTGAAATTCCACTCATTACCATTAACAAGTTCTACTAAACTCAAGATGTTGTTTAGATGTGATGGTAAATATTTTAGCCTTGGTAGACACAAAATATTTCTAATCACATAAATAACTGAACAGAAACACCTGCTGCAGTAGATGGAAGATAGGGTTTTATTTGCTTTGAAACTTAGTGCGCTTCTACAAAAAGAAGCCAAATTTGGAAAGGCAGTAACAAGATAAAAGAGAACGAAGAATCTTTAGCAAAACTGACTAATAACTGATAAAAGATTCAAATCTTTCGGTCCGATACACTGTCAGGTTTGTGAGTTCTTGTCCCTGGTTTTCATGAACTAAGGAGCCCACTGCTTCATGCTGTGAAATCACAGGATGATAAAAGCAGGAAAACACACTTAACCAGCGCGGTATAGTACTGTGTAATAGTTGTCTCAGCTGACAGGTTGCAGTGTTTGTGTGACGGGTTTAAACGAGCTTCTGATCTCCTTGTAGGGGGTGTGTGTGTTCCTGTGTTTTGATGCATGCAGACATTACTGCCAAATGATAAGAACAACAGAAGTGAGAGGAAGAACAAGACATCTCTCAAATAAAAAGATCCGAATGGAAATTATCTTAGTCATAACAAGTCTATATAAATACATCACTTTAACTGCAAAAATTAAATTTGATAAATTGAATCACAATGTTTATACACAGTAATTACAGTTTGGTTCACTGCAAACAGAAGTCGATTAAATGCAAGTTTAAAGGGATAGTTCACCCAAAAATGAAAATTTAGCCATTTACTCACCCTTGTTGATACAAGCTTGTATGCGGTTCATAATTTTTGCATGAAACACAAAAAGAGAATTGTGCATTACATTAAAAAACAAGGGTTTGGAATAACATGAGAGAGAGTGGGGGGGTGAACTATCCCTTAAACTGCATCATCTAAATGCATCATCTTCCCAAGTTTGGACCCTCTCAATTAACAACAATACTGCCCAGTCCAGGAACCAAAATAAAGTCTATTAATATTGATCAGAACCTGAACTGAACTAGAGACAGACATTTACACTGATACTACTCCTGTTCAACCACTGAATCAGAGTCCAGATGTACATTCCTGCACTGAAATCAGTTTGAATCTCCTTTCTTGAATACACATCAGGAATGAGTGTTTCTTATGCTTAAATATATCATCACAAAGCAACATAAACCATCAAGACGTCTAAACAGGCCTTTTAACTCTCGGCCGACATTCAGAACGGATCACTAGAGCATCATGGCGGCATCAATTATGGCATGACCAGAAAACCAGAGAGAGTAAAGAGAAAGTGAGGGGGGAAAATGAAGGTGTGTGTGGAGATGTGAAGACCAGAGGGATGCGATGGTGTGTGTTTGTTCCGTGGAAATCATTTAAGTCACTTCTTGGGCGGGCTGTAGGGCTCCAGCAGCTGCTTGGAGAAAGTATTGACCTTGTCCACTCCTCGAACCTCGTGAGGCAGCAGAGGCAACTTTACTATGTGGAAATCTTCATATAAATCCTCCATCTGAGAGAGAAAGAGAGGGGAAGAACATGAAAAGAGAGAGGAGGGAAGGGAAAAGACAAGAAAAAAATGAAAAGAAGGGGAAAATGACAAGGATAAAGACAACAAAAAAGAAGGGGAAAGGAAAAAAGGAAATGCAAAGAAAGAGAAAAAAATCAGAAGGATTAAGTATTATGGAGAAACAAAGGAAAATTAAGTGGGAAAGGAAAAAGCAAAAACAAATGGGAAGAGAAAAAGTAAACAGAAGGAAGAAAAATTAAGAGACAGAAAAAAGGGAAGAAAACAAATATTGAGAAAAAACAAAGGAATGTGAAAAGAAGTTGGGAAGGAAAGGGAAAGTAATGAAAAAGTACAAAGGAAAAAGAAGAGGAGGAGAAAAAAAAAAGTGTAAAGAACAAAAGGAAAAGGAAAAAGAAAAAGTAAAGCAGGAAAAGGGAAGTAAAAGAATAAATAGAACAGAAAAGAAAGGGAAATATTGAAGAAATGAGATTTGATTTTTAAATTCCTGAAGGTGCAGTAAACTGAATTATGCCTTCGTTTAGATCTGAATGACATTTGATCCTATAGATCAATGCTTCTCAAAGTCCGGACTCCGGTCCAGATCCGGACCCCGAGGGAATTCAATCCGGACCCGCCTCCATTTCGTATTTCAAGAGCAGTAATTTCCTACTTTGATAAACTGTTAAACTTGTAAATCATTGTTTAGTTTTTTTTAAATGTCTTTTTGGAGATGGTCCGAAATGAAAGCGAAGGCGAGATATTTAAAGTTTTTCTGCGTGACATTGTTGTCATGACAGTGAGCGCTTGACATAGCCTAATCAGGCGACACTTCACCGCTAATATGAGGTTTTTTTATTACTTAGATTATGCCAGCCATTTGACTTATAGCAGTGTCCAAGTGTTTCCCATACATTGAGTTATTTGTGGCGGCCCGTCACTATATCAAAACTGACCGGCACAAATAGCTAGATTTTCCAAGAGGCTTATAGGCCTACTTCGTTGAAACATGAGCACTGCACGTTTCAAAATTAAAATGCAGCGCGGGTGTTTTTATATGAATGTATCTTTGAAAAGAACCGACCGCCTTCCGAAAAGCTTGGATGTCATTTTCATTTTGTTTTTCTTGTAATGCCTGATGATGGCGTTTGTGAGCGCAGCACTTATTTGATTACAGCCGTTACCGGGGAAACCGCTATATCTCTGCTCCAACAGCGCCTCCTGCTGGCAGAGAATTCATTTGCATTTGCAAGTCTGTGGGAAACACTGGTGTCTGTCTGCAAACATAAACAAAAAGCATGCTTCAGAACTGTTTTGAGAAGGTGCTTAAGTTTTGAGCCATGAATTATAACTCTGAATTAGGCTACTACTACTATTACTATCTTGTACCCTGC